AAAAGAAAAAAAAAATCAATTTTTAAAGCTGGGAAAGTGAATGGTAATGCAGGTTTTTCTAAAAGCAGGTCAAGTCAAGGTTACTTGAAGTGCTCAGTTAATGGGCTCATAAATATCATTACTGGGTGCCATTCCATAGCTTGGAATCACACAGGAATTATCCTCCTGATGAAATTGAATTTTATTTATTTGTGCCCAGCCCTGGCCATGACTAAAACTACTCAGAACGCTCAGAAAATGAAACATTTGAAATATTCAGCTGCGAGAGGCTTCAAGGGAATTGGCCGCAAGTCTCTCTGCCCTATTACCAATAATTAAAATCAGTATTTTCATAGGCAGAAGGGGAGGAAAAGGGGTTTGAGTTCTCCTTTCCTGCTGAATCACATCAGCATGGTTAAAGATGAGATAGGAGCACCAGGTTTTTTTTCCCCTAGAGGCAAAAATTATTGAGAACTGACTCATCTGAATTTAATTACCGGGCCAGCTCGGAGAGATGAAATTCCAAACAAGACTTCTTTGCAATTCCACTTGTGGGACTGGAAAGTTTCCTTCAGGAATGCAAAATGAGATGCCCTGGAATGGGCTGGGGCTGGCTCGTGTGGATGGGAAATTTGGGGATGTGAAATTCAGGGATGTGAAATTCAGGGGATGTGAAATTTGGGGATGTGAAATTCAGGGATGTGAAATTAGGGGATGTGAAATTCGGGGATGTGAAATTCGGGGATATGGAATTCGGGGATGTGAAATTTGGGGATGTGAAATTCAGGGGATGTGAAATTCGGGGATGTGAAATTCGGGGATGTGAAATTCAGGGATGTGAAATTCAGGGATGTGGAATTCAGGGGATGTGAAACTCTGGGATGCACAAAAAGCAGGAACAGTTTCTGCCAGGGGGGAATTCCTGCAGGTGGGGCCAGGGCATCCCAAAAAGGGCTGAGCTCGTGCAGGGAAAGGTGCTGGGAGGAAAGGCAGCCCCAGGGATGCAGCACATGGACACCTGGAGGGCAGCAGGGATGCAAATCCATCATTTTTCCCTCCAATGAGCCCCAAAGTGGCACCTGTAAAACTTAAACCAGGCTTTAATCTCAGTTTTAAGGGCTGTGTGTGCACTACAGGCTCAGCTCAAAGCCAGGCTTACGTTGCCCACGATTGGCATTTTAAAAGTTTTTTTTGTGCTGTATTTATGAGGAGTTTATTAATTTTATTAATGAATTTATATATTTTTTTTAACAGCAGGTTCCCTCTGCCAGGCTTTGTTTTATTTCTGACATGACAAGACACAGCTCTGCTCTGGCAACACCTCCAGGCTGAATAATGTTTTTTAACCAGCTCCATCCATCTTCCCAGCCAGCACAGCTGAGTGCCTACGAACCAACAGTGCCCTAAAATATTAATGCATTCTAATAAAACCAGCTCGGGCTTTTTTTCATCAAACAGCAACATCTAATTTTCCGAGGGGGCCTGGGAACAGTAAACAATTGGGACGTGGTAAATGGCAACTTCCCTCCCATCAATAGACCCTAAACACTCCAATCCTGTTCCCTCAGAATTGCCAGCCAGGATAAATCACTCAAATAAATGGGATTTGCAACAGGATCCTCACAAATAATCACAATTTAACTCCCTGCTGATAATTCCAGGCAACACCTGATTATTTGAAAAGCTTCCTTCTTCCCTTCCAGAGGGATGTTGGGTTTAAATCCAACTTCCAGGACCTTTCACTTGCTGCCAGTCAGGACTTTTAACCATTTGCTGAGTTCAGTTGCTCACTGTGTCCTTTGCTACAAAACCAACAGGAGGAACACATCCAATTCCCTCTGCAGTTCTTTATTTCTCCTGCCTTCAGGGCACTGGGGTAGCCCCTAAACATTGGAAATATCGGCCTTTATCCCAGATCAAAGCAATATTCCTGAGAGCATTTTTCCAGGCAACCCCTGGGATGAGAGAGGGGCTGGAATTCTGTCTCCTGTCCCAGGGACAAGTGGATCTGGTGAAACATTTCCAGAAATTCATCAACAGCAATGGGTTTAGCACTCATCAGAACATTTAGCCAAACCAAGGCTTGAGTGTGGCAGGGTTTGAGGGGTTCTCGAAGGCTGGGTGATTTTATTTGGGTTTTTTTTTAACCTTTCTTCTTCTACCCAGCCACACCACTGCAGACAGCAGGACTCGAAGCTGCCAATGCTCACTTGGGTTTTGCCAAGCAAATCCCAAGTTTCAGAAGCAAACCACAGGGAATAACTGGTTGGGTTATTTTATTTGGGTTTTTTTTTTTAAACTTTCTCCTTCTACCCAGCCACACCACAGACTCTCACTGCAGTCAGCAGGACTGGAAGCAGTCAATGCTCACTTGGGTTTTGCAAAAAAATCCCGAGTTTTAGAAGGAAACCACAGGGAATAGCTGGGAATTTCCCCGCATCCAGTCCCAAAATGCTCACTCTGACCACCCTGCGAAGTTTGGCTCTGCCCACAAAGCCCACGAGCACCACCCCAAGCACCCTACGAGGAACGAACAGCAGCAGGAACCTACCAGAGCGAGGATCCCTCCGTGCCAGCAACTTCCAGAACATCGTATCCATCCTCCAGCTGAAAATCCATGAAAACCAGGGCAATGGTGTCGCCAGGCTCGGCCAGGATGGTCCAGGTGCAGTCTGCATTGTTGCCGTACTCCAGGGGGAAGTGAGGGCTGGAGATGATCCCGCTCTGGCCCCGCAGGGTCCCCCCGCAGGCGTCGTCGGCTGCAACAAAGGCGAGGGGTGAGCCCTGGGGTGCCCAAAGGTGCAGCCCAAAGCCACAGCAAACCCCACTGCTCTGGGCAGGGAGGGGCACTGCCCACTCTTAAGGGTGGAGGTGATGCCTCAGGTTTTGGCTTTTATGTTTTTCAGGTTCTGTGCTGCTTCAGTGTGTGGGTCTGGGCTTCATATGAGGGGATGGTGAGCTCTCTGCACAGAGAAAAACAATTCCTGCTCCGGCTGGGGACCAGGGACAAGTGACCCAAATCTCAGGTCCAAGAGATTGTATTCTCTTTTAATGTATAAACAACGTGGGCTGAAGAGAGAAAAACAAGAAGGATGGGACTTCATAACCTAAAGCTGGAATTGGACAATGAACTCCAATATACAAATGGACCAAAACTTCTAAAAGTGAGAGATCCTGTGGCTGGTTGTCCATTTTTTGTGACCACTTTGGTTCATCTTGGGTGTAGCCTTGGCTGGGCTCTTGTGCTGCCCAAGGTGGATCCATTTTAATCAATCCCTCCTTTATTCCTTTACTCTGTCCTGCCTCTGTTCTAGCTCAGCCTTCTCAAGGCATCGAAGATGTGGAGGGATGCAGAATCAGCTGCAGAATCAGCTGCAGGCACAGCTCCATCAGAGCAGCTGAAAAGCACATTTTGTGCTGCCCTTGGAGCCATTCCCTGGGTCCTCCTCCTCCCTGGAGCAGCTCAGGTGCCACCAGCCCCAGTGCTGGACTCCAGACTGGAAGGGCAGCGTTGAAATCAAACACGACTTTGGCACTTCAGGGTGGAAATGCAAAGCTGGGCTTTTCCTCCAGCTGGAGAGGGGACCTCAGAAATGGAAATGATGCCAACCCTCAGCTCCAGCACCAGCTGGGGTCAGGATTAATCCCTTCCTCCCTGGGGCTTCCTCCACAAATGCTGAACGAGGCTGGACAAGGAGAAGACTCTGGGTAATGCTCTCAGAGAAGAGGGAATGCTCCATGCAAGCAGGGAATTCCCTTTTCTCCTGCCAAGGTGCTGCTTTGCCCATTCTCCAGGTGGAATTTCAGGGAATTTCACCTTTTAGAGGGTCCAGAGGAGGGCCAGGAATGGGGAAGGGGCAGGAGGGGCAGCTGAGGGCACTTGGGGTGTTCAGCTGGAGGGTGTTCAGATTGAGGGCAGAGCTCAGAGGGGCTGCAGCTCCTCCTGATGGAATTTTAGGATGGATTTAGGGCAAGGTTCTTCCCTCAGAGGGTGCTGGGCACTGCCCAGGCTCCCCAGGGAATGGGAACATTCCCAAGGCTGCCAGAGCTCCAGGGGAGTTTGGACAGCACTCTCAAGATGGATTTTGGGGTGTCTGTGCAGGGCCAGGAGCTGGAATCAATGAGCCTTCATCCCTTGATTCTGTGAGTATTTTCACCTCCACTGAAACCCAAAAATATTTTTTTTTAAAAAGAAAAGTGACAAAGACCATCCTATTTTAGAGAAAAGCATCATCATTGATCACAAAAACGATCAGGGATAAGCAGCCCTCCCTCAAGTCACTCTGAGCCCCTCCTCACACTCCCTGAACGCTCCTGGCCCCAAACCAGCAGGGAAACACCCAAAAAAAACCCCACTGAGAGGCACAACACACCTCCGTGCTGTGCCACCCATGCAAGGGAGCATTAAAAACATCCCAAAAAACCAATATTTGCTCACTTGAAACCCCAGCTCCATGGCCCAGGGGCTGATTGATTGCACAGGCAGAGTCAATAAAAGGATCAATAGGAGATGCTCTGCTGAAGTACACAGGGGAAGAGACTTCAAGAGCAGCAGCAAATGTTTTTGGTAGAACAACACAGATATTTGTGTATTTACAGACACCCCAGCCCCCGTGGGAGCACAATTAGCAAGGCACAAAAAGGAATTTTGAAGTTTCTTTTTTTTTTTTTTTGAAGGGTTGGATTTTTAACCCTTTCGAACCAAGCCCCACATCCTACCCCAAACATCTCACCACACCCCATTTCCAGGGGGATCTTGTTGCTGTGGATTTTTGAAGGGTTTTTTTGTTATTTGGAAGTTGAAGGGTTGGTTTTTTAACCCTTTTAAACCAAGCCCCACACCTCACCCCAACCATCTCACAACACCCATTTCCAGTGGGATCTCGTTTTTCCTGCAGAATTTGAAAGGTTTTTTGTTTGTTTGTTTTGAAGGGTTGGTTTTTTAACCCTTTCGAACCAAGCCCCACACCGTATCCCAAACATCTCACCACACTCCATTTCCAGGGGGAATCTCATTACATCTGTGGAATTTTGAAGGGTTTTTTTTTGTTATTTTGAAGAAAAATGGTTGGGTTTTAACCCTTTCAAACCAAGCCCCACACCCTACCCCAACCATCTCACCACACCCATTTCCAGTGGGATCTCGTTTTTCCTGAGGAATTTTGAAGGGGTTTTTTTTGTTATTTGGAAGTTGAAGGGTTGTTTTTTTAACCCTTTCAAACCAAACCCCACACCCCACCCCAAAACTCTCATTCCCAGGGGGGTGTCGTTACCTCTGCAGACGGGGAGAGGGAAATCCCAGGAGGCTCCGTGTCCCGAGCTGGCCTGGCAGGTGAGCAGGGCGTGGCCCTCCAGGAAGAACCCGGGGTTGCAGCTGTACCTGACCCGGTCCCCGATGCTGAAGGTGGTTCCTTGCTGGACCCCGTTCCGCAGCCGCCCCGGGTTCCCGCACGTGTGGCTGGGCAGGGCTGAAAGGGAAACAGGGCTTGGTTAGGGACAGGGAATTGTCACAGGGCTGGGGTAAATCCTCAGGTAAAATGGAATAATCATCATTAAAAACAGAATAAACCACTTGAGGGAAGCAGGGGCTGGGGTAAATCCTCAGGTAAAATGGAATAATCATCATTAAAAACCATTTGAGGAAAGCAAGGTGTGGTTAGGGACAGGGAATTGTCACAGGGCTGGGGTAAACCCTCAGGAAAAATGGAATAATCGTCATTAAAAACAGAGTAAACCACTTGAGGGATTGTCACAGGGATGGGGTAAATCCTCAGGAAAAATGGAATAAATGTCATTAAAATAATTTGAAGGAAGCAGGGCTTGGTTACGAACAGGGAATTGTCACAGGGTTGAGGTAAATCCTCAGGTAAAATGGAATAATCATCATTAAAAACAGAATAAACCACTTGAAGGAAGCAGGGGCTGGGATAAATCCTCAGAAAAAATGGAATCATTGTCATTAAAAACAATTTGAGAAAAGCAGGGCCTGGTTAGGGACAGGGATGAGGTAAATCATCAGGAAAAATGGAATATTCGTCATTAAAAACAGAATAAAACACTTGAGGAAAGCAGGGTCTGGTTAGGGACAGGGAATTGT